GACGACACGTCACCGCTATGCAGGTCGCGAGCTTGCAAGGTGACCCAAAGTAATTGTATTCGAGTATGAAACACGCACATTCAACACAAAGAATACCTGCGTAGAATATCCCGAGTACCGAATCTTCATCGATAAACGTTTTCGTTTGTTCACTCACACCGATCGCGTTGTTCTCCAGCGAACTGAATGCACATAAATGTATATAACACCACGTACACGATACACAAAATGTATACGCACGTGTACACGCGTACACATCGACACGCATACACCCAGACACATACACGTGGGATAACGCTTGTGTGACTCCATATTCACACGATCGAATTAAGCTCCGAACGCACGCGCCGTCGTTACGCTTCTCATCTCCGAAAACGGATCATTGTCATTATTACCATCATCATCGTAGCGAACGACGATCGCCCGATGAATACCCAGTATTGTCCTCATGATCGATTCGATATTCCGCCGTATCGGACGGCGATTGTGCGGTTCGAGCAAGCGCGAGTTGCCTCTCAAAATCCTGACAATCCTGGTGACATCAATGCATAGTGAGATGCGGTTCACGGAGGATGTTGGCTCGCATCAATCGCATCAATCGTTCAAATAGATATATAGAGATCCATATATACGGTATGACTTGCCTCGTTTTAAGAATATATCGTGCATCATTCATTAATATCGTGCCGCACGTAGTTAGCGAATAAAAATTAAAGACGTAAGTCTCTTCCTTGGGTTACAAAAGGTTCTATTTCGTATACGTTGAAGAGTTATCGATTCTAATGATGATTCGTTAATCGTTTCGTGTTAATACTAAAGATCTAACTGTCGTATGGCCAATACCGAGTCCGTATTCTGACGGCGTATTTAGCGTAAATATACGATCGTCTGAATCTCGCGTCACGTTGACGTTAAAAAAGACGACCTGTATTAAATGAAATAAAATTAAAACTCGGACGATCGTATTTTTAAGTGCTAACTGTGGTAAGCCGTGAGAACACGGTTCCGCGTTTATTATTTATTATACATTTACGTATTTAATTCTTGCATATATTTAGTTCTTGCACATATTTAGAGAATAATCGAGTGTATACGGACGGAATTCGAAGTGCGGTATAAAAGCGAGAAGACAGAGAATTTAAAATCCGATTAGTTAGATAATTACGGGGGAAATATTATAGTCAAATGATAAGAGAGACATAGAAAAAAGAGATGATCAAGAGAGGGACCTATTAGAGTTATATCATCGTTAAATCATTGCACATACACACACACACCACGTGCCATATCATCGCATTATATATCAGAGAGAGAGAAAGAGGTGGAGGGAGGGAGAGAGAGAGAGAGAGAGAGAGAGAGAGAGAGAGAGAGAGAGAGAGAG